CAGAGGGGTTTTTGTTTAGCTTTCTATCCTAGCAGGGCCAATAAATTTACAGTTTGGTGGAATCACTAATTCTTCTTTTAAAAGAACCCTGCAATAATCAACTACACTATTTTCATCACTAAAACAAGGGATTTCTCCTCCCTGATTAACAAATTTCATTTTCTTCAAACAAATCTCACATGAAAACTTTTTCATAAAATCTACATCCAAAATACATTTGTTTTCAATGTTTGCAACAATAACTGAATGGGAAATTTAAATATTCCTAAGACTAAATTTAAGGAGACTCTCTCCCACAACTGGGATGTTTTCTTCACTTCCTGATCTTAATTTCACACTACAAGAGCTTACACTGGACTATTCTACCAATTGTATTTTTAAAAAAAATAATTTGAGGCTTATAATAGTCACAATGGATCCGGTATCTACTAATATTGTTGTTTTAACAGGGATGTTTTCTTCACTTCCTGATCTTAATTTCACACTACAAGAGCTTACACTGGACTATTCTACCAATTGTATTTTTTTTAAAAAATAATTTGAGGCTTATAATAGTCACAATGGATCCGGTATCTACTAATATTGTTGTTTTAACATTTTCTATCTTACCTCATATAAAAATTACCTCATCTCTTTGTTTAACATCTCCCACTAAAATGCTTTTGAGGTTTACTTTCCAACTCCCCATTCTGACTTTTCATAGACTTATTTGATACGGATCAACCCCTGTACAATTGTTAAATGGTGTATTCTGGGGCTTGTTCCCAACTGAACTCGCGCCGATTTACGCCCCATATGAATTCGACGTTTGATGGTTTCCCTGTCTTTGAAAACCCAAGTCATTTCTATGAGGGGATGGCCTCTGTGAGTATTGATTCCCCTGTTTAGATCTATTTCCATAACCATTTCTTGGTCCATATTTGTTATGTTCCCAATTGTTAAACTCTCTGGGACTATTAATGAAAATCGGTTTTTCCGGGATATCCCATAATTTTGGGACTTTTGACCAGAATTGCTCAAACTTGACAAAGAGTCTTTAATGTTTTTTAGCAAGGAAATAAGTAAATCTTCATTATTATTGTTTGGATGGTTTTGGGAGTGAGTGCGGTTGATTTTCGCTGGCTTATATTAGCATCGGATTCGATTGTCGTGACGTCACCACAAAGTGGAAAATACCGGCCATGTTTGTCAGTTGAAATGCTGCCATGCCGATCGAGCCGATGAAGGGAAACACGCACCCTAGGCCTCGGATAATTACCGAGGGAAACATTCACAATACTTATCGCTGATGGACTTCGTTAGCATAAATAAAACAATCATGAACATTTTGAGCGTGACTAGAGGGTGCAAGATATCAAGGAATTTCGGGTGTCACTATTTACCGACCTCGTCCAAATTTTACACTTGGTAAATATACTATTGTTAATGGAATTAAACATACAATTAAAGAAACTTAATTTGTCCTTTTATAGTCCAGTATATTGCAGGAGTTTTTGTTGAACTTTACTATGTATTTCCACAGAAAATGTTACTTATAGTAACGGGAATAATTACGGAACCGTAACATGTTTATCACATACTTATATTTATAACCATATTCTATATGATTACCAACAATTCGTAATGCACTAAGCTTACCAACAGCTTATGTTCTTTTTGTCTTCGATCTCCCTCTGAAATAAACATCAACTCATTTTGTTTATCTTTAACAAATGGAACATGAGGGTATTTAAGCTGGCAAATAGAAATCCGAAATTCATTTCGGAGTTCCGTATGTTTCTTGTCATTCTTTAATATTTTTGTGGGTTCCGATGTTTCCCTTCGATCTTTGTCTGCAAACAAAGAAAATATCTTTATAACACTAAAACACGTATTAAAATAATCAAACTAAATCAACTTCTTAATTTTTTTCAACGCAGTCAAAAGTATAAAGCTATTTAGCGAAACGAAAATCATATTTAGTAAGGTGTTAAATTGTTGAGATTACTGTACTTCAATTGATATACGTTGTGCTTTTCTGCTTCCTTCCACTTCATCAGCCCTGTTACATTCAAATTTTAAGATGTTCATCTTTTCGTCCTGAAAAAAGATTGATAAAAATAACTGTTTGATCAACTTTTGGCATAAAGTTTTGGCAATTCTTATGACCATTATATTGAAAAGCCTAGTAACAAATAAAATAAGTACGATATTATACGTTTAAAACTTAAAAGTACATAAAAAGATGGTGCGTGTGTGAAAGATTGTTGATTCAACAGAGAATCTTACCACACTCTTTACCGCCTCCTCACCAAAATCCAACACTTCCTCGTAATAAATTTTTTAATGCCATTCTGAAATCTTTTAGAAAAATGACAGTTCTGGAGTATTTATAGTTCATAATTAACAATATAATATGTAATGAAATACGGACATGAAAAGAATTTAAATACACATTAATGAGAACCTTTGGGTTTCTTTCTTGTATGCTTTCAATAAAAGCTGTTTCTTAATCTTTATATTTAATCCCCTCCCCCTTTTTGCATAATTTTCTGAAGAAGAATGTACGTATACCCAGTCGATGCAGATTTAAAGATAGATGAAGTATATTTAAATAATTGAAATTGACTCCTGAGTTAAGACTTTACGGTGCTTACATCTTGCACCTTTTATACGCACATCGGAGAAATAATATAGCTCGCTTTGTGACCGTGAGGTCGTTAGTTCGAATCTTAGCCGCGACTGACGTAGGTCGAAAAAGGGTACCAACTGTTATTTCGCCATGCACTGAGCAGTTGCGGATGAGACCTTAAAACCAAGGCCGAGTCTCACCACAGGCGATATCACGATAAGCATTGCTTTTAATAGTGTTAAATAAAGAAAAACATTTTCAAATGTAAATATTATAGAACTACATGACACACGTGCCCATCTCCAATATAACATCAAACTCTAACCTAGTTAGGTTACGAGATACTGGTACTTTTATGTAGTACAGAGGTTTTGATCTGCGTGGATTGTATTAAGTGCAGACAGGACTATGTTTATAATCTTTGACAATAAAATTATTATACATTTCCTTCTTTACTTTATGGCCTCAATACTGTGACTTACATCATTGTTGTTTGTGTATTCAACCCACTCTCCACTGTTGACTAGGTCCAAAGACTGGCTTGTGACACACTGACCCTTGGAGAAGCTTGTCCATGTATTTTCGTTAAGATCTGCAGACATCATAAGCAGGGGGTCATCAGTAACTAGATAATTCTTTACATGACCATTTGGGTGTCTGTCAAGCCCTGATGTTTTGTGGGATCCAGTTTTAATACCAAGGAAAAACATCACAGTGGGCTCACATCCAGCTTGAAGAATATTCTCTGATGATTGTGTCCTGCAACACATCATTACAATAAATATATCAGAGTGCATTGTTGTTTGAGCATTCAAAATGGATTCTGGAGCAACTATTTTGCAATTTGCGTTTTCATTGGCTAAAGTAATGATAAATAAGGCAGCTTAATGAGTATCAATGATAATGAAAGTCTGATTGGAGCACCATTACATGTCATAATATAGAAAGATACAATTTAAATAAGACAATGAACTGTATGAATGAATGTCATTTCCTTAAATATATATACGGTTCGCAGATTAAGTATTTTATATCTCCCAATGAAAATACCTTCAATTCGTGTAATTTTAAGCTTCATACATAATTATATGTAATAAATACCAGAAGAAACCACCAGTAACAATGTGGGAGCACAACATATGCTGGGCATATCTCTCTGCCGTGTCTCTGCTCCTCGCTTTCTGGTTTTGATGGAAAATTTGATCACGGATTCTTCCATGGTTTTTCTCAAAAGAATCCTCATCATATGAGGGAGCAGGACCATGGCGCTAAATGTCACTTATCTGTTATTTGTGAATAATATAAAATAAAATTATCAAGGAGCATGCAAGAAAATAAAGATGTAATTATTTAGAAACTTTTATTTCAAATCTCAAATAAATTTTATGAAATAATTGTTAGCAAGCGATGGAAGAAATGTATTTCAGAATGCAATATATTTCAGTCATGTTTCTGAGAATAAATAAATGAAGTAAAACTTCAAATGCCTTTTCCATCAGAATACAGGAAATCTGTGGATTATGAGATTCCTTTAAGGTATGTGTTTTATATACAATATAAATATATACAAGAAACTTATTGACGCAAGCGTCAAAAATCGGCCGCGACATAAACTTGTTCTTTTCATGAGAAACGTTATCTGTCTTTCTCAAATTTCAGTTATACAATAAGGCGTTTTTAGCTCTACTGGTCAGAGACCAAAAAAACATGCATTAGTAATGCGTCCTGCGTCCGTCCGTCTGTCTGTCAACAATTTTTTTAAAATGCTACTTCTCCTACAGTTTTGGTCCGATTTCAATATAACTTGGCACACAAGTAGACTACACTAAGATACATAAATCTGTGCATCGGTTTTTGATTTTGATGAACGGTGTTGCCATGGTTACTAAAAAATAGAAATTTATGTGAAATGCATTCAAAGTGCTACTCCTCCTACAGTTTTGGTCCGATTTCAAAATAACTTGGCACACAAGTAGACTACACTATGATACATAAATCTGTATCAGTTTTTGATTTCGATGAACGGTGTTGCCTTGGTTACTAAAAATAGAAATTTGTGATTTTTTTATTCAAATTGCTACTTCTCCTACAGTTTTGGTCCGACTTCAATATAACTTGGCACACAAGTAGACTATACTAAGCAACATAATTCTGTGCATTGGTTTTTATTTTGATGAGCGGCAAGGATAATTTTTTTATTGCTGTTTTAAAGCATCAAGTCCCAACTGCTACTTTTCTCTTCCTTTGTTTTAAGTATAAACCAGTAGAGCTACAGTCTCGACAAAGACTTCCGGTTTATAGTAAAGAAAAGATTTATATAATGACGCGGTCAGCCTTGCGCTAAGCCGTTGCGCCATGGGGAGATTTCAAATCATATGTGAAGCTTTTTCTGATTCACATGTCTTAAAAACGTGAGTATAGAATAAATTATCAATAGAATATTTAACAATGAAATACAGATTTTAAGTGTAAAAGATGACATAAACCAAATAATTTTAAAAAATATAGCTTTCATGAACTTTTAAAATGCAGATGTCTTTTCACAAAGCGGCAGATTGTCCTTGGATTGTACGCCTCCCTTCTTTTCCCAATCCAGTATTTACAAATACAGCAAAACTTCATTATCCCAAACTTGGTAAGACTAAGGAAGTATTTGAGATAATGAAGTTCACTGTACATAAAATCAATTTTGTAAAAAAAAAATAAATAAATAAATAATTTCAAAATTGAAGTTTATTTATTTCTAAAAACAACAAACTACATAATGGTATTAGAAGGCTGGGGGGTCAATAAATAAACCACAAATTAACCACCAGATTTAACATTTTTTTTTTAGATACGTTTTTTTTAAGCTATCAACTATCATTTAGAAAAGTTTTAAAATTTGATAGTTTTTGTATATCTTTATATGGAGCTATTCTTTTTAAGGAGATCGAAATAGTGTGAAAATGGCTACCACCCCCAGCCTACTTAATGTATGAAATAACAAAAAGTTGCACACAGATATGCACAAGTAGGAAAATGTACTATTCAACAAAAATACAAGTAAAAAAGAAAAAAAAATTCTACAGAATAGGAGTAATTCTTTTTTGTAATTTAATGACTAAATCATACTGGCATTAATCTAAGAGGTAACAAAATTGTGCATACAGGTATAAACTATCTCAAAAAAGCCTTCCTTTCAGCAAAAGATAAAAGTAAAGAAAAATACCCTATTCTGCAAAACAATAGGAATATACATGTATAAAAAAAATTGCTTCTTTGCAATCTAATGACTAAATCATTACTGACTAGGTAATTACAGTAGTAAATATACTGGCATTAATCAAAGAAGTAACAAAACTTTGCATACAGATAAAACTTTCTCAGAAAGACTTCCTTTCAGCAAAAGTTACAAGTAAAAGAACATACTCTTTACTGCAAAACAATAGGAGTATAAAAAATTGCTTCTTTGCAATTTCATACTAAATCATTACTGACTGGGTAATTACAGAAGTAAATATACTGGCATCAATCTAAGAAGTAACAAAATTCTGTAAATAGATATACACTATATCTCAGAAAAACTTCCTTACCCTATTCTGCAAAACAATAGGAGTACATGTATAAAAATATTGCTTCTTTGCAATTTAATGACTAAATCATTACCGACTAGGTAATTACAGTTGTAAATATACTGGCATTAATCAAAGAAGTAACAAAACTTTGCATACAGATAAAACTTTCTCAGAAAGACTTCCTTTCAGCAAAAGTTACAAGTAAAAGAACATACCCTTTACTGCAAAACAATAGGGGTATAAAAAATTGCTTCTTTTTTGCAATTTCATACTAAATCATTACCGACTGGGTAATTACAGAAGTAAATATACTGGCATTAATCTAAGAAGTAACAAAATTCTGTATATAGATATACATTATATCTCAGAAAAATTTGGTACCCTATTCTGCAAAACAATAGGAGTACGTGTATAAAAATATTGCTTCTTTGCAATTTAATGAATGAATCATTACTGACTAGGTAATTGCAGTTGTAAATATACTGGCATTAATCAAAGAAGTAACAAAACTTTGCATACAGATATACACTTTCTCAGAAAAACTTCTTTTCGGCAAAAGATACAAGTAAAATGACAAAATCATTACTGACTGGGTTTACAAAAGTATATAGTATGTTTACTGAATGTTGTACAGGGTATTTCCTTTGGAAATGCAGGATTTGGTTTGGATGGGCAGAAGTTGTATAATTTTTTGTGTAATTTCTTCCTTTGTACAATTAAGGTCCAGTTCAGTCTTCAGGATAAGTTCTAAAGTTGACTTGAAGAGAACAATTTTCTGGTCTTTTTTGTCTTTAGTTGAAAACAGGAAGTTAACTCTGCAAGATTTCTTATCCGAATCTGTCCGTTTACATACAGGACACTCATTCTGTACCATCTTCTTTTGTCTGCATGCTGAAATTATAGAATTATGCATATAATGGAGTACAGACATAC